ATTGATTTTATTAGAAATTACAATGATAAATTAATAAATTAAAATTAAGTTTCGGGTCATTTCGGGTCGACCCGTCAACATGAAATTTTCGGGTTCGGGTCAACATACCTGACCCGTTACGGGTTCGGGTCAACAGATTTTCTAACGGGTTGACCTGAACCCGACCCGTCAACCTGATTTGGACCCAAATTGCCACCCCTACCAATAACCTCCTGATCGTGGTCCAGTGCTGGATGAGAAGGATATCCAATAAATTGAAGTTGGAACTTTTTGATTTCAATAACCCTGGTGCTGAAAAGAATAGCATATAATTGGTGGTCCATGGTTAAGTGGTGCAACTGCAAGTTTTAACTAATAAGATAAAGTTTATCTGACGAATTAATTGTTTATATCCAAAAAGCAAAGGATGAAGAACAGTCGCTTAAAACAGATTCGTCCCAGGCTGGAAGACATCTCAGAAGAAGGACAAGAATGAAAAGTTCACTTCACACTCACAGCATAACAATACTCTTGCTGCTTGTGAATTTCATGTGTAACAAGAATCTCAGACTCATTCGATGGAGCCGGAAGGTTTTCAAGAAGAAGGTTTTTATCTTCGATCTTAAAAAAAAAAAAAAAGGGGGGGGGGGGTCGGAAATTTCCAAGTCACATGTGTCAGGTTCAATTTACAAAGAATTTCCAGGTTAAAATTGTTGAAGAAAAAGCTAGACAAATCCAAAAAGATAAAAAGGAACAAGAAAGAGTTGTCAAGCTAATCCATATGATATGTGGCTTTTTTTGGTGAGGAGACTGAGAGGGTCACGGTCTGCACTGCAGAGACTCTAATCTAACCGTGATGACAAAGAAATGCAATTTAATTGGAAAAACCATCTCATTTCTCGTGTGGAAGGCCAAACGTGAAGTGGGAAAATGATGCTCTAACAAACCCTTATAGGCTACCTAATTTTCTTGGCAAATTACATAGTAATACTTTTACCAACCATCATGAGCAAATTAGGGACCAAAAGCAAAAGGTTTAAGAGATAAAGCCAACGTATTTTTAAACTGACTCTAGACCATGCAAAATTGCAAGACGCTGCTGCTATTATCTCAACTTATTTGCTCCCTCATAAAAACAAATCTTGTTTATCCATCTGGTTGGTGGTCATGATGATGCCGTGCTTGAAGGCCTAGCACGATTGGACCCGATGTCCAGTCATCGATGAATGATGAATGAAACTTTTGTCGACAAATCAACAACCCACGATTAGTCGTGATTTTGCGGCTCGATACGTTACGGTCTATGGTCTTTAATTTGACTCTAACTCTTTGCCAGTCAGAACCAAGAACATTAACACACTGTAGATTGTAGTAATATCATCACTTCTACCTAATCTTACTTACTCTATGAAATAGGAGTGGCAAATAATTGATGAAACAGATAAATTGGTCTTACAGTAGCTTTCAAATAGTAGCACTAGTAGTATTTCCACAACCACCGTAAAGAAAATATATATATATATATATATAAAAAAGGCACAATTAATAATGCTAAAATTCTTTTAATGTATGACCAAACGCTGATGATTTCATGGATATTAAAGTAAAACGTTCAGGAAACACGAGTGATATATTTATTGGATGAAGTGCATAACAAAAGTTTTGTTGTGTTTAAAGCAAAAGTTCTTAAGTTTAGGTGCTGCGTTTTCAAGTTATGTGATAATTCCTTCGGGTACTACAAAACATCAACAAAACAAGGGTGCCATTTTATTAAGGAGCATGTCTGTTTAGATGCACTTGAGATTCTCGGTGACATATTTTCTATGCCAATCAAATGCCACCTCTGATACTGCGTCAAATGTCTTGTTATTATTTGCACTTTAATTTTCTGATAATTCAAATTGGTTCGTTTAATACAAATTTTCTCTATCCTCTAAAACTTTGAACCAAAATTAACCGACCGGTTTAATTTATATACCAATACTTTTGAGTTAACCACTCACGATCTGTTGCTTTGAGGAAAAAGAAAAAGAAAACCCTAAACAAAATTGCCTCCAAACCCTCAAAGTTTTAGAGGGTAGAGAAAACTTATATTAAACCAAACCAATTTGAATTATTAGAAATTAAAGGGCAAATAATAACAGGACACTTGGCGTAATATTAGAGGTGACATTGAATTGATATAGAAAATATGTCATCGAGGATCTCAAGTGATTTAGATGTGGTGTAGGAATCACGTGTAACATATTCTACGGTCATACAAGTTATAATGACGTACGTGTAGTGTACGTCATTATAAAAAAAAAAAAGAAAAAAAAGAAAAAGTGACGATGAGTAATGTACAATGGTATAAGAAAATCTATATAATTATTTGGATTCACATATAGCAATAAACCCATAAACGAAGTATTTGCCCCCTTCACCCGGCAATAAAGGCTGCTTTAGTAGCCTTTAAAGTTATATGACTTCAAATGCATTGCATGTTAATTTCCTTAATGCATTTCCCCTGCTGATCGAGGCAGACAAATTAAGAGCATTAATAGGTAAAGATCTTGTTGGTAGAAAGGCCACCCTTCGCCGGGCCGCAAAAGGATTCTTCACAATTTCAAAGATGAAACACTACTGATTGTCCATAACCGCAGAACAGATTTAAAATGTCAAAAAGGTTGGAAATCATTGTCCATGAATTGTACAATACAGCGTCTCTATCTGCTGCTACGTATCCGCCCCACGCAACTTTAGAGCATGCATGGCCCTTGCCGACGTACTCTTGTGTGATCCGTATCATTTTTATTTAGTATGTTAGATTTTCTGAAATAGCTCAGCATTAATGGCTGGCTATAACTCGTTCCAGGTGTTATGAGAATGTGAAAATGAATACTACTGTATCAAAAACTCAGCAAGACAACCACCACCTTCAAAATTGCAAATCATAATTACTTTCTAATTTCAAGTAAAGGGAAGATATAGTAATGGTTCGCTTTCATTCGTGTCATTTCATCTAGAAGATTTAAGCCTCGCCTCGGTCTTTTGCCATCTTAAGAAGCTGAACCCTAAACTTTCTGTAAAATTTGGCAACGTCCGAGTAAAGAGCCACCTCTGTTTAGGCTTTCTTCACCGGGAAAAAAGGCAGTACTACTACAGAGTATAGTCGACCCAAAAGCATGCAAGGATGACTTTCTTGTTTAGTGAACAACTCGGTGTAGAGAGTGCCATCTACCTAAATAAATCATGCAAAAAAAAAAAAGAATCTTGGTTTCCTATCTTTTGCTAAAATAGAAAAATGAAAAAAGAAAGGATGGAGACAAAAATTGACCCCATGACAGCTCATAATTCTCATCTTCCCACTAGTTGGGAAAAATCGAGTTGAAAGGAGATGTTGTTTCATCCAATTTGCACGCGTTAACCACGTAATGTGTGAAGTTACTTTGTAGTTACTAAAGAAAAGGGAAAATCACATTTCTTAAATTAGGATTTTTGTTTCCCACAATACCACCTATTTTAAAGATTGCAGAGACTTAACATTTTTGGTAACGGTAATTACGACTTAACATTTTATAAATAAACGCCCACGAATTTTATAAAGATTGCTGCCACCATCCTTCCTTGGAAAAGCCGAAAAGGCGCAATTACTGCTACTATTAAACATTTTGACCCAAAAAAAAAAAAAAACTACTACTACTATTAAACACGAGGATTTTTCTAATGGCTTTAATATTTGTAGTTGAGAATCTTAAATTAGGATTTTTGTTTCCCACAATACCACCTATTTTAAAGATTGCAGAGACTTAACATTTTTGGTAACGGTAATTACGACTTAACATTTTATAAATAAACGCCCACGAATTTTATAAAGATTGCTGTCACCATCCTTCCTTGGAAAAGCCGAAAAGGCGCAATTACTGCTACTATTAAACATTTTGACCCAAAAAAAAAAAAAAATTCTACTACTACTATTAAACACGAGGATTTTTCTAATGGCTTTAATATTTGTAGTTGAGAATTTTGGTCCCAACGACAATATTTAAGGCTCATTATTGCCGTTTTGTCAACAATTGTAGGGTATAGGGTGGTGATGATCACACACACCATTCTCTTTTTTATTTCTTGATTTTGGGTCAAAACGCACGTGAGAGACACAAGGAGTCGTCAAGATTTATCTTTCTTTGGTGGCTTTCGTGGTTTTTTTTTTTTAAAAAAAAATAAATAAATATATGGGTTCCAAAAAAAAAATATAGGGAAAAAAAAAGGCCAACCATGTAATGTTTGATAGGATGGGGGTGGATGGTTCAAGTCATTACTCTGATGTAGCTCAATGTGGAGGGGGAAAAGATAAGAGTAAACGTACATATAAAATGATGGAAATAACACGTATTGTCGTTCAATTATATACAGATAATGTGCATAAATGTATTGATCGGATCTTGTTTGATATCATCCATCAGCTTATCCTTCACAAACAGAGATATTTTCGTGGAAAGCTCTCTTGAGCTCTGTATCTCCTTTATTTTCTCCTTTATTTCTTTGTCATTTCTTCCATTTCCTTTAACTTGAGTCCAAAAATTGGATTTCTCCTATTATGAATATAACCGAAAGAAATTTAAAAGCATAGGGTGAATGACAAGGATCTCTATCTCTGAACATTGCATGCAATTATCATAACCCAAATTCTTGTGCGAAGAAACCCACAAAAAAAAAAAAAAAGAAGGGTTATCAGCAAGAGAGATTACCCCTACACTCGAACTGAAGCTTGCTTTAATTATTTTTTGTTTTCTGGATATTCATTCCAACATTTGGTTAAGGATAATTAATATGCAGACAAACAGATAATAATACTACGGGGGCTTTGTTCCTGCAGCCCGAGACCCTCGTACATCCATTTACTGATCCCTAAAAGGTGAAGGGATTTGTTTTGGGTCCTCGGAATTAAATAGGATCCTCAAAATCCTAAATATACTACTGCTGATAACCTTTTTGATTCAGACTCGATGAGACGACAAAAGATATGTGGCCACTTCGAATTCCCCAAAGGCAGAGAATACCAATAATTTAAGAACGCTCACAGCTGGAGAGCGGACAAGGCAACACTCGACAGGTTGAAGATACAGACATTTTTGGTGGAAATTTAAAGGATAGTAGCGATGCTATATTATTATTTGCATCACCAAACAGGCGTGTTCAATAAATTTGCGTGGGGCTTTTGTCACGTATGAGCAAACATTAGCCATATATCCATCTTTTGCTATGGCCCTTCCTCTGCAGCTAAAAAAAACTTGTACAATGCTGGATTTGACCAAATATGGTACTGTATTAACTGCTGATGTTGGAATATCACCAGCCCTCCAACTCTGAATCCAATGCTAAAAGGGCAAAAGCATTTGATAACTCGTAGTACTAAGCTTAGTAGCTTGCAACTGCGCCTTTCATTCATGGTGTTTCTTATCTATCAGCTGTAGGTTGTACCAGAGAGTCTTTATCTGAAGAAGTAACCCTCTTGTTTGCCTACTTATACCTGCTCAGGGAATATATATATACAAAAAGGGATAAGACGCAAGTTGCAGAAAATTATTAATGAATGCTCGTATAACATGAGAGAGATTTTTCTACGTACCTATGCAGGGGTAAGTTGTGGAACATCCACCAAACGCTCCATCTCTTGCAGCTGGTCATAGGGAGCTATCTGCACAGCATAAACAAAAGCAACTCAAACTCAAGTCGGGAGCACCAGCATCACAAACGGGCATTGCAATAGTACATAGAAGTATAAACCTGCATTAACCTACCCCTAAGCAAAGCTTGTGTTGTCAAATTCACTAGGATGTTAGACATCAATAATATTAAGGTATCCAATTCTCCCACCATAAATATATGAATCATACTTTGCTATTGCAACTCTGACATGCAGCATCATTCAACTCTGCCTGATTTTAGCATCATTCAAAATTCAGGCCACGGTCTTCTGATTTGCAAAATGTGTGGAAACTACGTCCTTGAACCAAAACAACTTAAATTTTCTCTATTATCATCATTTTGCCGGGAAGATAGAATTAACGGGATAGGGTCTCCTTAGAATGTTATTTCAAATATATTGATGTAGTTAAATCAGATAGTCCAAACACCTGGCTAAATCCATCAGGCCAAGTTATCGAAACAGCATAATTTCCCATAGGCCGAATTTCTTCAGGTTCAATGTCTTCTGGAATATCAGTATACTGTAGCTTCTGCTCTCCAGTCCATTCATCCTGTGGCCATCAATGGCAAACGAACCACTAGTTAAAATTTCAGTAATGGAGGAGACTGACAAATAGAAAATTGTTGTGGGAGATGAATTATTGATTATAAAAACAAACGATGAGCGTGTCAAGGTCTCTCTCTCTCTCTTTCTGATAAAGTTGCTTTTTGTTTGCATCATCAGGACTAAAATACTGTCACATTCCTTTCCTTCTCGCTGTCCAAAAAGAAACTGTGTGTTTGCTTTCATCAGGGCATCACCAGAATTAAAATATCACCACAGTTCCTTTCGGCTAGGTTTCAAAAAATTAACCAACTTGTTCACATAGTATCATTAGGATCTAAAATGCTAAAAAAGTTGCTTTCAGCTTCACTAGCCAAAAAGTAGCTTTTGGTTTGCTTTCTAACAGAATAAATAAAATACTATTCAAGTCCCTTTCGCCTTCTCTGTCCGGAAAGTAACACTTTGTTTCCTTTGTATTATCAGTACCTAAAATAATGGAATAAGGATATAGGATTCCTTGTGTATATCCATCTTCCCTATCTCCTGGCTAAGCTGGCCATTACCCATCAAAAAATATCAAAGAAGTTACTTTCTACACCTTATTATACACCTGTCCTAAATCAGCAATCTTCTTTCCGTTTGACTTTTTAAGACTTGTGAGAACTTGAAGACACAATTCCTATTCTTGTTTACAGAAACTGATTAATAGTGAAAATTTTTTGTTGGATGAACTAAGCATCAGGTAGCAGAATTATACTACAAAACAAAAACAGAATTTCAGGGTTACAGCCAACAAAGATATACATTTAACAAGAGGACAGCTGCTATAAGACAAGCTATTGGTGATAATAGGAGGACGTGCAAAATCTTCATGGAGATCACAGAAATCCTGAGTTCTAAATTTAATAATGCTGGAATAGACTGTTACTGTAGCTTTTTCCATCAACATAAACTTCTTGGTGGTGACAAGGCACTTAGTTTAAGAGCATAAACTAATCTTGTCTATGCCTCAAGCTATTTTAACAAGACTTTTATACTGATCTAAATTTTCTCAACACCTTCACTCACCGTCATTAAAAAGGGGTCATCACCAAGTGTAGTTGTGTGAATTGGGAATCGTGTAAGATGGATAGGCAAAGGGTATCTCATCTATGGACGTGATTCTAGACAGAAGCTGACTCTGAAACTCAATTCTATTACCCCATGGAATCTTATATGACCATTAGCCTCTCATGATTGCTCACATATCTTTCAGAAGGGGAAAAAAATAAAACTTGCAGAACAAGATTTCACTACATACCACACTTTGAGCTGACTGATCATTTCGTCTTACAGTTGCAGGATGCAAATAGAATTCTTCATCAGAAGCAGGAACTTTGACCTTGATTACCTTGATAGTTCTGTCATAAGTTACAGCTGTTGACACTGGAAAAAAAAAAAGGGTAATCTGATTGTCAAATGACATAATTCACAGTCAATGTCAAGTTAGTTGGTAGAGTAACAATCCTGCCCGAATGGTGGTTTGATTTCATAGAAAATGATAAATAAGGTCAAACAAATTTGGCTACAAAACTCATTGTCATGCTAAGAAGATTCATGTTACTTAAAATTTTCACTCATCCCCACCATAATTGTGTGAAGGAATTTAAGAAATATGATATCTTGAAAAAGGTTTTCTCTTTGTAGAGATTCCAGAAAACTCAAGTCGAGGCCTAACAACTTGCTAGCATTTTCTTAGGCTAGAGGACTTGCTATATTTTCACACTTTTTCACAAGAAGCAACTTCTTCAATCGACTCCAAAAGCATTTTCTTAGGGAAGAGGACTCGCTACATTTTCATGCTTTTTTACAACAAGCTACTTCTTCAATTAACTTCAAATTCTTAAAAATAGAAAAAAGATAAAAGATAAAAGTACCTTGTTGACGGATCTTGGCACACTGTTGGACAACGCAGACCCCTAAGTCTTGAAATGTGCTGGCAATTTCCCCTTGAGGGTCAGCCACCACTTCTGGCACTCCACTATCTCCAGAAGCAGATAGCTGTCACATTGTTTCCTTTCTTATTAAGAGAAAAATTCTAGCCATTGGTTCTCATGTTCTATCAAAATTTTTTAAGTTTCCATATAGAAAAAGTAGTCATGGATTGAGAACTAAACAGACTTATATGAAGTCAAGGATATTTCACAAATATAAACTTCTTAAAACAGACCAGCTACAAAATGGTGCTTTCTAGCCAGAATTGCAAGAATGGCACTTACACTTGGTCTAATAGGAAGATCAAACAAATGGGGGATTCCAAATTGCTGAACAACCTGAACAGATGGGGATAAATAATTTAAGAATTCATGTCTCCAAATTATATTTGACTTATCATGCTAGCCATCATTTTTGCAAATATTTTGTCATGACACAGTTGCGATGCCACTGTTCATCCTGGTATATAAGTTATGACTTAATGTGTCATAGAAGGAGCAGATAAATATCAGATTTTGGAATATGTATAAACCTGAGAACCCGAACCTCTACCAAAAGGGTAATACCGTTTTCCATCAGCATCAAAGTGGCACATATTTTCAACTACAGCAATACAAGGCACCTGCTAACACAAAAACACTCAATAACAGAAGGTAACTGAGCAACCAGCATACAGTGATGGGAAAGTTTCAGTAGATAACATGTGGAAGGTTAAGATGACTGCATTTGCTTCAAAATACAATAATAGCACACATAAGTAACAGAACCATACTTTAAGCTTTGAGAACATCCGAACTCCCTTGGCCACGTCTATAAAAGCAAGCTTCTGAGGTGTAGTAACGATGACAGCAGCAGTCAAAGGAACAACCTGGTAGTTGAATTGAACTATAAGATGTAATGGATTTTAAAAATTACGGTGACAATGTACAGAATTATCAATTAATATTTTACAGAAAAGATCCAATAAATGAGTACCGGGGCATTAAAACATCACCTGGCATAAGGTAAGTTGAATATCACCAGTTCCAGGAGGCATGTCAACCACAAGATAGTCTAGTTCCCCCCTGCATAAAAGTGAGAATTAGAGCATAATATCAAACCAAAGCACATAAGCATATCTTAAACAGATCTGACCATTAACATAAAACTTCCAATTAGCTCTTACTATATTACTTTTCCTAGTTTAAGCAAACAAATTTTTGCCATGTGATAAGCTGGATTCAAATCAAAGAGGTGCCAATTGGAATGAACAATATCTACATTATGTGATTGACCTTTCCTCCTAAAAGTTTAAAACATAACATGCAATAGCAAAACTTCCAAATTTAAGAGATCTAATCTAAATATTATGCAAGGCATACCATTCTGTAGTAGTCAGCAGTTGGTTGATAACTCCAGAAACCATTGGACCTCGCATTATCGCACGCCCTTGACCAGCAAATCCAAAAGATACTAACTTGACACCCAAGTAGTCAGTTGGAATGATGGTTTTCTTCTCTGGGTTCTGTTAGATGTCTTTCGCTGGTTATAAAAAGACCAAAAAGTATCACACAGTTTCTCCCAAATAACTGGAGAATTACCATTTCTAGCAGCCGATTTTCAGGGGAGACCATCGTTGGCAAGCTGGGACCATAAACATCTGCATCAAAGAGACCGACTCTAGCACCCATGCCAGCCAACGTAAAAGCAAGGTTGACGGCAACAGTTGACTTTCCTACCCCTCCCTACAGTAAATGCAAAGCTATTGTAAGTGCTAAAGACAATGTCATAGTAAAGCTACTAAAAGGACTCAAGACAATAATAAGCATGATAGCAGTTGAAGATAATAATCGGTTAAACACCCAAGTTAGATGTTCAAATCAACTTCTTCAAGTTATCTCAACATTAAGAGTCCAAGTTTCACATATTCAGATACTAGTACAGAAGTCCTATATTGCTTTAATCCGAAAAAAACAAGTACACGGGCAAGGTCCCATCACTAAAATTTCTACTTTGAACAAAATAAAGGAACTCATACAAAATGTGTACCCATGCAGATATGTGTACTCATACAAAATAAAGTAATGTAACAAACAAATCAGGTTCGTAGAATAGCTAACCAACAGAGAGATTGCACATGCTTTACCTTGCAACTCGAAACAGCTATTATGTTTGATATTGTTTGCAGACCCATTGGAAGTGCCCCAGCAAACATAGGTTTAGCTGGTTGTGCTGACATTGTAACATTTACTTTTCTCACCCAGGGGAGTGCTGCAACTACCTCATTAGCCTTCTGTTCAAACTGTGGAAAATGGATTTTTACTGTGTGTCTATGATATATTCAAGTCTAATTAAGAAAAGAGTCACTCTCACAGAGCTCTTTGAAGGGTGGGAGGAGGGGGTGGGGGGGAGAATACAACAAGTTGTCTAAATATATCATTTCAATAAAAAGTTGATCAAAGAATGTAATTAACGGAAGAAGCAGAGAAAAAGAGAGCTTTGGTTAATGTGAAAATCTTTTCACCAAAGAATCCTGCTGCAATGGACTTAAGCAAGAACAGAAAGTAATAAAATTAAATAGTATGTACCACTGGATACACACATCAATTCTTGATCAAACAATGGTGGTTGTGTTTCATTTACCATGTCCTTGATTGGACATGCTGGTGTTGTGAGCTCTAAGCGAAATGAAACCTGAGATTGAGTTGAAATGTTGGGTAAGGACATTAAACACTAGCTACCGGCTAATAAAGTGATTAGATTCATCTTTCAAAAGACCTCTCCCACAGCCTCATTGACTAGAAGATCTTTAACAAAGCCACATGAGACGATGTCTGTTCCAAAGTCTGGATCAATTATCTGGGATAAGGCTTTCAATACATCAGACTCTGCTGTGTGGAGTGATACTGTGGAGGCATTAGCTGCAATATTCCAAATAATTGTAATTATTGTAAAATGTAACACAGACAAACTTCAAATATATTAGTATGTGAAGAAACACTAACTCAAAGAAATGGACTTTAAAAGTAGTTGGTAAATTGTATCAAAGGACAAGAAAATAAAGGCTCAACATGTTGGAATTATCCCTTCACGGGTGCAGCATTGCCAATCCACTACACATTAGAAGTTTGTAAGGTTGATATGCAATGCAGGACAAGGAGTAGGGGAAGTGAGCTTTAGAGGTCGAGAGAGGGTGAGAAGAAACTAAGTCAAGAACTAGAATAAAGGAACTATATAATTTCTTTTATTTTTGGGTTAATTACATTTACCTCCCCTGAGGTTTAACCAAATTACCATTTACTCCCTGAAATTTAGACAAACTACAAAAAGGTCCCTCAAATTGAAAGATGTATAACAGATACACCCCTCCCGTTAGTCTGTTGCTGTTGACTGTTAAGATTATAATGATGCCATCATACAAATTTAATGAAATGCCTAGATTGCCCCTAAATCCATAACCTTCCCCTTCCCTTTGTAGCTTTTCTTCAAAACCTAACCTACTCCATTTACCACCGTTGACATAACTATGGCAGCAAAATCATCGAGATATATTATCGATACCCACTTTCATGATCATTTTCTTGGTGAGCACATTTTCACTGTCAAAATCATAATAAATTTATAGAAATTTAATTGCCTTCATTTTTATTATTCGCACATTTTCACTGTCAAAATCATAATAAATTTATAGAAATTTAATTGCCTTCATCTTTATTATTCGCACATTTTCACTGTCAAAATCATAATAAATTTATAGAAATTTAATTGCCTTCATCTTTATTATTCCCATAACAACCATCCTTTTAACTCCGTTATAAGCAGAGAAAAAACCCATTTGATAATATCAAACCCAATGACCAACTACAGATATAACCCAGAGTTGAAAAAATGATTATTTGGAACTCTAAACACCCGCATGAATCGAGTCAGATCCTCGTTGATAACCGTTAATTCCTCACTGCCAATTTGAGTGAGTTTGAGATTTTACTCGTCTCTAGATTGATCGATGTGATTGTGGTAGTTGCAGAGAAGGGAAATACAACAAGCAAGATTATTGGCCGACAAAGGGTTACAGACTTGTAGAGACTCTTTTGTGGTGGATTGAGTGAACCTTTACATTGCTTCTATAAATTTTCTTTCATTGCTCAATTGTCGGTTTCCTTTTTTCACTCTACTTTTTTTTCCATTCCTTTCTTTGCTTTTCACATTTTAATTTCTTTTTTGTTTTCTAGGCTTTCCTTCTTTCTTCATTTTCTTTCTTTTGTTCCTTTATGCACATATTTTATCAAATTTGATTATTACATGCTTGGTTTTATTTTTTTCTTTTATACTAGTTAAAAACTGTTTTATTTAATTAGCAAACTCTTAGTTTAATTTGTTATTATTGAAACCACCTTCGATTTTTTAACAGTAAGTTTTCTCTAACTACAAGTTTTTACAGAGAGGGTAAATATGACATTTTACTACTTCTATTTAAGTGTCTTTGACGGGGTTACTTAAAAAAGAGGTACTTGTAATATTACTACACCACATGCATATAATGGTAGTTTGGTCAAACCACAAGGAGGTAGATGTAATTAACCCTTAAAAATTTGATGGAAATCAATAAGGGTTATTCAAACTTTTGGCTATTTCCGTTACTTATAAGTGACAAAAGTTAGTGTGGGGGAGGAATCTATTATTTGGTCAAATCTTAGGGATCGATTCATTATTTGGTCAAACCTCAAGGGAGGTAAATGTAATTAACCCTTTATTTTTAGGATCATAAATCTCACCTAACAAAACCATGAAAGTTGATAAACTCCTAATTAATCGAATCCTTAGCAGTTAGGAAATGGAAAGCATAAAAAAAATCATATTTAAAAATATTCCTCACTTTCAATGAGATCCCATAAACCTAATTTCCTGTTTCGTGAGTCTTTCATCGCCGATACTACATACACATGAGACTTCAGGACATTCTTTTCCACAAAATTAAAGGAACCTTGAGAAACCAAAATTATCACGTACTAGAATAATATCATTTCCACAAAATTAACGGAACCTTAAGAAACCAGAATTATCCTGTAGTAGAAATGACTGTTGGCTATAGTTGTCAGTGATCATGCCCCTGAAGCCTAAAGTCGTGTCCATCATGAATAGAACGATATAAACTTTAATTATTCGTTTAGTATTTTGGACTTCAAATTGGATTTCGTAAAAGGAAAAAATGAAAGGCTGAAATCAAATGTGAACAAGAACAATGGTTTCAACCACTCAATGCCAAGAAAGAATTTAATGCAAACCAACATCAAACAACCTTTGATTAAACCATTTCTCTTCCTTTTTCCCCAAAAGAAAAGTGAATGATAACCAGTAATGAAGTTGTTGTCGGGCAGAGCTACCAAAAGAGAAGAATATGATACTTCTACGAACTCTTATAATTCAGGAAATGTACCGAAAAAAAAGTGTTTGCAATTGCGGGCTTTCTTAGGAGAAGATGGAAGAACTTACCTTCAACAGAGGCAGCTTTAGCAGTGATGGAACTGAAACTTGAGTGGCCAAACGATGCCCACAAGCTCTTTACATTTCTATGAGATAGAAAGGAGCTAGAAACTGCATGTACACCTACAAAAGCACAAGGTACAATTGCATCTTAGTAGTCTAGTAACAAGTAGTGATAGTTCTCATGCAGGCATTGAAAACGTTAAAACTGAGTGGGATCATAATGTGGAAGGAAACTTTTACATGCTTTCGGTTGAAAAGTAGAGTGATGAAATGGGAGTGTAGGAGAAGATGAAGTGTGAAGAGATAGCATCTCTTTCGAATGCTTCTCTCTCCTCCTCTGTGTGTGCTTGTGTTGTCTGTAATAATATACAATCAAACTTCTTCTTTTTTTTCCCTTTTGGCGTGAGCAATTCCGATTGGGATAGAGGAAGAAGACTGGAGAATGGAGGAGATGGCTGAGCAGACTGCAGGGTGATGAGGTTAAACTGTTGAAGGTAAAGACTAAAGAGCAAAGAGATGATGGCCTTAAAGAAGGGGGGAAAATATGAACCTCACGTTTATCCATGCCACGTCATCTTTGTAACGGGCTCATCGCTTTGCAGCAGCCACAGAATCCATTGACAGGGGACCCGCTGGATTTACTTATCAATTGGCTTCATTTCAGCAGAAACCTTTTCTCATGTTTTGCTTTCGATGGGTTCATTTATTCACACATCGAGTAAAATAAAAGACTAAAAAAGAAAAGTCGATCGAGCTGATGATAATTGCAATTTTGAGTTGTTAATACGGTACCAATGGGGTAAAATGGTTCAGCTTGTCAAAGGTTTAGAGGGATCGAATTTAGATTTTTCAAATTTATACTATATACACATATATATAAGATCATGACATTCATGATTTTTCATACCATGTACAAATCCTATCAAATAGCATTCAAAATTTGCATTGTGATACGTTTATTTCAACAAATTTATACCCAAAACTTCTTTCCTCTTCCGTAATACTTTTAGTTGCGATTGAAGTGCCTTCCTCGCTCATTTTGTCATCTTGGCCAGACTGATCACTGGTCATATTATTGTCCTTTCTTGCCACGTTTAGAAAAATACAGGACGTGGTCTCTCATCTGCAGTCAGGGTAAGGCTTTGGGAAGGCAAGACTCGTGATTTGATGGAATTCTCCTGCGGACACCATAAACTTTGCGTGGCTTCAACTAAATCATATTGAAACAAGAGTTACGACACGTCGTGGAGGTTTTATTTACTATTTAGTTTAGTGATTATCAACTCCGAAGAGCCCTTAATCTAAGGGTCAAAACTCGATATCCCAACATTTATAAATCTTGAGTTTAAATCCTCTTTTCTTCTCTCCTACTAAAACAGATTAAAGAAAAAACAAAAGTTGCCTCCCAAACACAAATTGCAATAATAGAAGAATAAAGTTTCTTTTCACTTAGATTTTGATACCCCAAACTTAACAAATATGTTTGGCTTCTTGGACAACAGAGTCGTTTTAAGTGGTTGATTTTGATCAAGTTTAATTTACCACATCTTTTACTAGCCTATCACCACTTCAATGCAGAGAAATATGGACCAATATTTGATAGTGATTTGATTATTTTTATATCTACATTTTTGGTTTAGTTATTAAGAGCACATTGGTAATCTTGTTAATTTATGACCATTAATGGGGACATTCAATGTTATCAATCTAATAGGGGTAAGTTAAATTTTAAAAATTTCAAGAGAGCTAAATGACATTATGAAAAATCTCAAGGAAGGTTTCCCAAATTATTCCCAAAGTTCAAGTGCCAGATCAGGACTTGCAGAGCATAACTACACGTAAGACCATTTTCAGGCACTTCACCCTTCAAATTGTTTATGTTGCGCAACGATATCCACCACAGTGTATTTGCACATGAAAAAGCTCCCTGGCCTCGCAGTTCAATCAGGAAAATTTCCTGAAGAAACAGATAAATGCAACAAAATTGGATAATAACTTCAATCAGATCTAATGCAGTTTACAGGCGTTTAACTGCTGCCTAACTCATACGTTCCTGCTAAAACTGCAGGAGCCATGAAATCCTTGTATTATCCAAAACAAAGATATAAGCTAAAATAGGTGAAGATGTCTAATAGCACATGAGATCTTCCACCCTTCTACACTAGAATGCACTGAAATTAATGGCATAAAATGGAACTTTGATAATTAGTTCAACTTCTCCAAAATGTGATTATGGTTCAGAAAATGCCTAGTGTTCCTACAATCTGATATCCTCCCAAGGATTAAGGCCTCTTCCTGTGGAGAAATAAGGATTTGTTACCATACGGCAACCTGAAATCTTTTACCAGATCACCTTGTCCGCAAAATAAATGAATCACTTCACCTGTGACTAGGAAAAAATGCATGTACAATGAACGGTCAAGATGATCAGCAATAATTTATCAGAGGGATGATAAATGGTAAGTCAAACTGCTGATTATTACTTCCTCAACGCCCCCGTTAACCTAATGCCAAAGCCTGCTGCAGAAGCCATTTCGAGGCCTCTTGCTTGATATTATATCAGTAAACGAGTCAACCAATTGTCCAGCCAAGCTACTTGGATCATCAAGTAGAGTTTGAATAAAAGTGTTTACCACCCTGCGTTCTTGGTCGGTTGATCTCAAGCTGAACCACGTAAGCAATTTCAATCTAAACTCCTTTTCTATGAAGCCTTCACACTCCAGCCAGCGTATGATCTTGACACAGTACTCAAAATTCTCATCCAGGCAACCCGGTCCATTCCGCACTCGAAATGGTGATCCATTTATAAGAGTGCTATCAGAATCATGTGTCTCTCCATTGCTAGCTGCTCTCTTTCGGCTTGCTTCCACCTTAGAGTCGACAGCAGGCACCTCTCCATTCTGCCCATGGTTCCAGTTTTGGGAGTCACCACTACCATGCGACCTTGCTACACCATTTTTCTCAATGTCATGAGAAACTGCATCATCATCTGCCTCAACAGTCCGTGCTAAAGTGCAACCATTATCTTCATCTCTTGATGACTCAATTAGAGGAGCTGCCTCTTCATTTAGATCGGGAACTGAAGCAACATTTAAATCAAGTTCACGTGAAACAGATGGGACGTCTTCTTGTATGCTTTCTGGTTTAATAACTTTACTAACACTACTACATCTAACAATATCTGCCCCACAGAATCTCTCAAAACAGCCTTGTTCTTGAGCCCAAGCCAGTCTCAAGATCTTTCCAAGGTCCCTGACTTTAAAACCGGAGTCAGATTCAATGGCAGTAGGAGTTCTGTGCTCCATCTCAGCACTTGAGCTTCCTCCAGAATCTGGATTCTCCTTCCTATGGCTATGATTTTCTGCAACTGAATTGGAATTCTTGTGAATTATCTCTCTGCTCTTGGTGAAGCACTTGGCCTCAGAGTGCCCCAAGTCACCTCCCTCCATATAAGAAACTATGCGGAAGGAGTATTCGGTGCAGGGCTGCAAATTGGATATCAAAATCCTCCTTTGAGCTCTTGGAAATACACAAACAGGCTCCTTGGTGTAATTTTCTTCCCTACTCTTACAATACCAAAGCTTGTAGCCCTTGACATCATTGGAGGATACACTAGAAAGCTCTATCAATACAATTACAACTGAAGTAGATGTTACTTCCTCAAACAAGAATCTGCAAGCAGCAGGCAATGAACCCTCTGCCAAAATTGGAAACCAAGCGCCTTTTATCATGTATGACATGCAATGTTTTCTCCACTTAAGAAACAGTAAATACGCAAAGACAGCTAGTAGTACCTCTGTAATCTGCGGTGGCACTGGACTTTGAGGTCAGCCATTCATCAGCTTTCTCAATGGCAAGGGAGCAGAGCGTCTGGACATTGCCTGCAACAGAAAGTCTGCTGACAATTCCCCTGGCCATCTTGGCAGAAACTCCATTAACTGGGCCGACCTCTGTTTCTAACTTGGCCTTGGCTTCTTTAATAATTTCATGGAGTTCTTTAAATCTGGAAGTCCCATCCAGGAGCCTATAACTCAGAAATATCCGATAGCACAGGACGTCCACTCGACGAGCATCCTTCGCTATATTTAGCTGTTTCTTCCAGTATCTGTAAAATCAAAACCACAGGAAAAAAAAAGTGCTATTACCAAACCAAAACAGCTTCTAGTTGATCTCGAACTTCATTCATTCTATTCTTTTTTAAACTTGATTTCTGTCATTATTTGCAAGTCACAGCAGAAAATAGTAGGTAAAGTTATCTTTCATTAAACAGGAACAACCCAATATGAAGAATAATGTTTGTACCATCTTGTCTTTCCACTTAACAGGATAAGCAAAAATTTGAATGCAAATTCAAAGGAAAAATAGAATGTCAAAGCAAAAACAAAGCCATAAAAAATTACAGTTAAGAAATGACATCTAGTAGACAGAAGTTTGTTGGTTGCTCAAATATTTAGGTATCACTGCACATTTTTCTGTTTGATTGTGTTTGATGTATATTGATCAGAGAGCTTGATACTATTTCAGATCTCTGAGCCTGTCAATGTTTATGCTTTGCATTTCATCGTATTCCTTTCAAGTTTCAACTTGATTACACAATGCTTGGGGTGAAACAGGACGGGTTGGTTTTGTCAACAACAGCTCTGAAACTCGTAGATCACGAAATTATTTTTGTTATTGAAATATCCATAAAATGATTATCAAAAGAGGCAACTTACCCAAGTATCCCTGAAACTTTACCACAAGCAGCACAACAATAGCTTCCATCTAGCTGCATCAGTTGTCCAAGATCGACCACCCCCACCTTCCCACGTTGGAGAGCACATTCAATGTGGCAAGATAGGCCACAGTAGTCCCCCTGGCCAGATTCAGATGCACATTCTAACCAAAGACTTGGATCCTTGTTGTCATCAAATAAGTGACAAATGCAGCAAGAGCACCGCTTACAGAATGTGTCTTCTATGGAAAGAGTTGCTCGACATGCAGAATTTTTGCATATCCATGAATTCGAACATTTAAAATCAGCACATTGTTCTGTTGTGGGGGGAATGCGGACAGGGTTTTCAGCCTTTCTATTTTGTTTTTTCAAAGGTTGATCTTTGGGACTTGAAGCTGTTTTCTTTTGATCCTGGTTTTTAATTGGTTTTTTGCTAATTTTTGTAGCTGGTTCAGACATTTTGCACTTTGATGAAGCTGATTGTTTCTTTTCCTTTTCCAAGCAAGTATGCAACAGATCCTTCCTTGCACCAGATTTTAGAAATTCTTGGAGTACCTTGGGGCTTCTAGAAGCATCATCTGACTGTCCATTTTTCTCCGGAGTGCTGTGCACACTGGAAGATAGACTTTGAATGCCAGAAACTGTACATGAAAGATAACTCAGTTAGGATCCAGCAATCAATACTACAATTAGCCAAAAGCTTCTTTTGTTCAGGTAATCTGGCAAAACTTAATCTTATGTCCCACATTGGGTAGTTAGTAAGGGTAGTTTAGGAAAAACATAAAGT